CCCAGGGCTCGAAGAGCAGTAATGGGTCAGGTGGCCAGACAGTCTTGCTCTGGCAAAGCCATGTTGAAGGCCAGGCCTGGAAGAACAGAGGTTGGGGGGGCAATTTTGGACCAAGTCCGTATAGAGGCAGAGCACAGGCAGTGTGCAGGAGCTTGTGCTAGGTCTCTCCTCAGCAGGAGCCTTCCCTTTCTCTGCTCCTGACCTGCCGTGTAGGACAACCTCCTTGTCAATGTCTGCATCCGCTCACCCCTCTTATCAGAGCTCATCTGGCAACATACCTGTCTCTTCCTCCTGGCCTGCCTCACTGACATTCAGGTCTCCTGTTAAGTGTGCCTACAGCTTATCTGCCTTCAAGCCACCCTCAAATCTCACCCATCCATAACAGTCTCCAAAGAGTTTATTTTGGATAAGGAAATATGAGAATGTGGCTGAGGGAGCCAAAGAACAGCCTTTCCAATTCCACTGAAAACCTGGTTGCTGGATGCCATTCCATCACACTCTGCTGCAGGCCTGAGTCTCAGCTGGTGTGAATTGGTGCAGCTCCATCGACTTCAGGGAGCGATTCCACTTTCCTCCAGCCGAGCAGCTGGAACCTTTGTTTTTAAAGAAAGCTGGAGTTTTCATTCTCTCAGCGTGTTCATCGCTGTGTGCATCTCTGTGGGACCCGGCTGCAATGTTCAGGGCTGAGAGGATTGTCTCTTATTAAAACCAGGCGTGAGGCATTCTTGCTGCTGCACTGTACCTGGAAAGGAAACAAAAACTCCAGAGTGACTTTCCTTCAATTACTAACTGTAAGTGGCTGTTATGTTCGATGCGCCACTTCCTACACATTGGGATTTTTCTCGGGTAATTTATAGCTCCATCAGCCTGCGCCTTCTCAGAACTTCTGGAGATACACTGTGGTTTGTGTCAGCTTATCAAAATCTTGTCCCTCAGCACGTCCAAAATGTCTTAGGGTATGTCTACACTACAGCACTAATTCGAACTAACTTAGTTCGAATTAGTTAATTCGAACTAAGCTAATTCGAACTAGGGCATCTAGACCTAAAAACTAGTTCGAATTAGCGTTTTGCTAATTCGAACTAACATGTCCACACTGAGTGGACCCTGAACCGAGGTTAAGGATGGCCGGAAGCAGTGCCGGCCGGGCATCAGATTAGGACTTAGAGCGTGGAGCTGCTGTCTCAGGCTAGCCGAGGGCTGTGCTTAAAGGGACCCAACCCCTACCCTGGACAGACAGTTCTCAGGGGTTCCCCGCTTGCAAAGCAGTCCTGGCTTGGAGGGCCCTGAGTGCCCACACTCGGCACATCACAGCACGCGGCCATCAGCCTGGCTGCATTTGCTGCAGGCTGCCCTCCGGAGGGGGGGTCAGTCAAGGGGCTTCAGGAGAGCTTCCACCCCGAGGAGCCCACAGAGCCAGCCCAGTCCTCCCCATCAGGGGCTCGTACCCCATTCCTCCCTCACCTCCTTCCACTTACCCCTCCCTAGCCCCCCTTCCTGATGTACAAAATAAAGGACACGTGTGTTCAAAAATAGAAACTCTCTTTATTGAACAAAACTCGGGGAGACTGGGAAAAGGAGGTGGGAGAGGGGACGAGAGAGGGTGGGAGAGGGGAGGGCAACTAAAATGATCAGGGGTTTGGAACAGGTCCCATATGAAGAGAGGCTAAAGAGACTGGGACTTTTCACCTTAGAAAAGAGGAGACTGAGGGGGGATATGATAGAGGTCTATAAAAGCATAAGTGTGTGGAGAGGGTGCATAAAGAAAAGTTCTTCATTAGTTCCCATAATATAAGGACTAGAGGACACCAAATGAAATGAATGGGTAGCAGGCTTCAAGCTAACAAAAGAAAGTTCTTCTTCACAAAGCAAAGAGTCAACCTGTGGAACTCCTTGCTACAGGAGGCTGTGAAGGCTAGAACTATAACAGAGTTTAAAGAGAAGTGAGATAAAGTCATGGAGGTTGGGTCCATGAAGTGGTATTAGCCAGGGGGTAGAAATGGTGTCCCTGGTCTCTATTTGTGGAAGGCTGGAGATGGATGGCACAAGACAAATGGCTTGGTCATTGTCTTCGGTCCATCCCCTCCAGGGTACCTAGTGTTGGCCGCTGTTGACAGACAGGCTAAAGGGCTAGATGGACCTTTGGTCTGACCCAGTACGGCCATTCTAAGTTCAGGGCTCAGGGTCGGGGGGCTCAGTGGACCACCTTGATTTTCATGCAAACCTGCTCCTGGGTGGCCAGGCTGGCAGCTCTCCTGCCCTAGACGGCCACTTTCCTGTGCCTAGTGCGGAGGTCATGGATGAGGTCCACGATGTCTGCACTAGACCAGGTGGGCGCCCGCCTCTTGCGGACCTGAGCAGGCTCCCGGGACCCGCCAGCCTGGTCCCGGGAAGAGGCGGAGGGCGGGGTGGCAGCGGGTGGTTGGCTCGAGCCGTGCCAGGTGCAGGGTCTGCTGGCTGGGTGCTGGCAGGCTTGCCCCTGGCACGGGCACCGTAGCCAGCCCGTGCCCCTTTAAGGGCTCCGGGGCCAGGAGGGGGGCAGAAGAGGTTCCCTGGTGGTGCCCAGAGTGGCCACCAGGGAAAGCTGGGGAGGGCTAGCCTCCCACTAGTTCGAATTAAGTGCTCCGCTAGTTCGAATTAAGTTCGAACTAGCAGTTTGCGTGTGCAGCACCTATCAAATTAATTCAAACTAACGTCTGTTAGTTCGAATTAACTTTGGAGTGTAGACATACCCTTACAGAGCCTGCACCCTGAACTCCCTCCTGCACCCTAACTCCCTGCCCCAGGCTCAGCTCAGAGCCCCTCACATTCCAAATCCCTTAGCCCTAGACCAGAGCCTGCATCCCAACCCTCTGCCTCTGCCTGATGATAGGGAGGGAGAATGGGGGAGAGAGGAAGGGAGGACAGAGTGAGCAGGGGGAGGGCTTCGCAGAAGTGGCATGAAGGAAGCGGGGCAAGAGCATCTGGGTTTGAGGTAGATCTTACATTGCACTTAAATTCAAAAAGTGATCTTGTGTTTAAAAAGATTGGAGACCCCTGCCTTAAGCCAAGCAGCCATGGCGTCTACACATGGGAGGCCGATGGGAGCACACGGAGGGTCGGTCTTCTCCGTAGTGTAGACATGCCCTTAGTCTTTAAGGTGCTACAGGACTCCTTGTTGTTTCTGAGGATACAGACTAACACGGCTACCCCTCTGAGGCTGGACTTTTAATTTTTTCAGCAAACGGCTGCCCTCAAGGGGGCAGCCAAACAGCCAGGTATAGGTTGCCGACCCCTGATCTAGGGTGTTGAGATATGTGAGTGGGACACAGAGTTATGTGCATTACAACCTTTATTATTATTGTTATTTATTGTATTACCATAGTGCCTGGCCATCCTAGTCATTGCTTGGGTCCCACTGTGCTAGGTGCTGTACAAACACAGAACAAAAAGGCGGTCTCTCCTACAAAGAGATCACATCTAAGTCAAAGACCGGAGACAACACCTGGCTACCGATGGGGGAGTACAAGGAAACCATCAGACAATACTGACCAGCATGGCAGGCAGTACAAGCAGCACAACAGAGACCTAATAATAAACCACAGCTTGCTTTTCTTCTTTGTGCTCTTGGAAAATGGGATTCTTTAGCTACAAAGCTGCAGCATTCTTCCCTGTAAACAATACAGTACAAGCAGGGAACCTTTTTCAGGTCGGGGGCAGCTGACCCACAGAAAAATCAGTCGGGCGCTGCACACAAGTGAGAAGCAAAAAAACAAAACAAAAAAAACCCTCATTGACCTGGCCCTCAGCTGAGAAGAAGAAAGACACTCCTATGTTCCCCTTGCACACCAGAGCCTAGGGAAGCCCAGCCTAGTAGATGTTGTATGCTCCAGCCCTGTGGGGGGATGGCAGGAAGGGCTGGAGTACTAACACGGGCTCTCCCATGCTGGGGGCAGGGAAACCCTAAGCCCTCAGGAGCCAGATCCAGGCAAGCCAGGGGCCACATCTGGCCTCCCGGGCCCCATCCCTGAATCAGAGTCATGGCCAAGAGGACTAGGAAATCCAGTTCAGCTTGTCCTAGCTTTTCTCCCAAGTGAACAAAGACAACCCTAGGGATTCCTTCGGGATCTAATGCCACATGGGTGAGAGATGAGCCCCCAGTGAATTCGGGATACAAAGACTCTGGTTGCGACTCATGCCATTGCAGAGCTGATACTAAGTATGGACTAAGGGCGCAACCCTTTGGAGCACCTATTTGCATTCCCAGGCACATCCCTGATGCGAATGGGGATGTGCCTGGGAATGAAATCAGTTTGTTTTTCCTTCACTCTGGCTCTGGGCTGTTTGTTAGACACTGGTAGTAAACTCAGCGCTGTTCAGGAAACAGACGCAGACACAGCCCTTGACTTGAGAAGCCTTCAGTGTGAATGACAGAAAACACAAGTGGGCATCAAGAGACAGGCAGACTCAGAAGGATCCACTCTACAGCACTTCTTTGGGGGTAGAAAGTGTCCATGGATTATAATGGGTAGATAGGCTAATGTCCGTGGATCTCATAGACAAAGCCCCCAGCTCAAAGGCTATTCAATTCAATACAAAAACCTCTTAGAGCGCATCTACACTGCACTGTTATTTCAAGATAACTAGCGTTATTTCGAAATAACAATGCGAGCGTCTACACAGCCATTCCATTATTTCGAAATAATTTCAAAATAATGAAGGGCTTATTCCAAAATCTGTAAGCCTCATTCTATGAGGAATAATGCCTATTCTGAAACAGCTATTTTGAAATAAGGCGTGTGTAGATTCTCCACTGCTGCTATTTCGAAATAGCCCCATATCAGGGCCATTCTAAGTTATTCCTCCCCAGTGCCTCCTGGGGCTCTAAATTGAGGGAGCATGTGTACATTAGGGAAGCTTGCCTTGGACTAATTTTGAGGCTTCCTTTCAGTGTAGACATGCTGTTTCAAAATAACTATTTCGGAATAACTGTTCTGGAAGCATGCAGTGTAGACATACCCTACCTTCAGTGGACTTTGGATCAGGCCCAATGTGAGTTTGTATTTAAAAACAAGAGGAAGAAAGGGAGGCAGGCTAGAACTAGAGGGAGAGCCAGGTGTTGGAGGACCAAAAGGAAGAAGGCACAAAGGGTACGTCTAGACTATAGGCTTTTGTCGACAGAGGCTTTGTCGAGAGATACTGTCAACAAAGCATCTATCAACAAAGAGCGTCTAGACTACAGCCAGTTCTGTCGACAAAGCAAGCCGCGTGTAGATGCAATAACGCCTTCTGTCGACAGAACTCTGTCGACAAAAGACGTTAGTCCTCGTAGAATGAGGTTTACTGAGGTTTACTGCCGTCAACAAAACTGCCGAGTTCTGTCAACATTATGTTGACAGAACTCGGTGGCAGTGTAGACGCAGGTATAGTTTTGTTGACAAAAGGCCATTTTTGTCGACAAAACCCTGTAGTCTAGACACACCCAAAGTGGAAAGGCAGGGCCGGGGCTTTAGGGGCACGGTGTCAAAGCAGTGGAGGCCCAGGGGAAAGTCTCACTGGTATCCTTGTTTGAAACTCTTCCTCAGGACCTCCTGGATGCACACAGCCCCCTGATGGGCCCTGATGGGCCTGCTAGATGGCAGCCGTGCACGGCTGTTCAAAGGCCCTGGCCAACTGCTCAGCCTCTGCCCCCTCCCCCACCCTAGCAGGAACGTCTCTCCCTTATTTTCGCACACAGGTTGTGCAGGATACAGCAGGCCAACACCACTCGGGAGACATTCTGCTCGCCAAGGTGCAGGTGGGTGAGGAGGAGGCGGCGGAATCTCCCTTTCAAAAGGCCACGGTGCCCTCCACCATGATGGGGCCTTGTTCAGTCTGGTATTAAAAATTCCTTTGTGGGGTCAAGGTGTCAGGTGTAGGGCTTCATCAGCCAGGGGAGCAAAGGGTAGGCTGTGTCCCGCACAGTGCACATAGGCATGTCCACGTCCCCGAGCCTGATGGTGCAGTCAGGGAAAAATGTGCTGGCATGCAGCTTTTGGAAGAGGTTGGAGCTCCTAAAGATGCAGGTACCTTCCCTGATTGCCTGATGATGATGTCGGTGAAGTGGCTTCAGTGGTCCACGAGGGCCCGCAGGACCATACAAATGTACCCCTTCCGGTTGATGTTGTCTGATGCCTGGTGGTTGGGGGCCCAAATGGGGATGTGGGTGCCATCAGTGGGCCCCCCTGCAATTGGAGAAGCTCATGGTGGCAAAGCCAGCGACCATGGGGTCTACGTTGCCCAAGATGATGACCCCGCACAGCAGGATGGTTTTGATGGTCCCCACCACCTGTAGAAGGATACAACCACAGGGTTGCCAGGGCTCTTGGGAGATCTCTGAGTCCAACTCCCCTTCCCTCACACACCAGGACAAACCCCCAAGTTCCCTCTGCCCCCCTGGCAGGGCTTTGTTAACGTGGGACTGTTAACAGGGAGGGAGCTTCCACCATTTCCCCCTTTTTCCCCATCTCCTAGGGAACCCCATTCCAGCAGTTCACCACCCCCTGGAACAATAGCATGAGAGCGCCATACCTGCATGAGCTGGTTCCTGATGGAGTGGTAGCTGTCCAGCGTGGCGAGCTTCCAGATAGTGATGGCGACCTACTTCTGGAGGGGGATGGTGGGTCACATGTGGGTGTCCTGTCGCCTGAGGGTACGGGCGAAGCCACTCACACAGCTCCAGGAAGGTGTCCTTCCACATGTGGAAATTCTGGAGCCACTGCTCATCATCCCAGCAGTTGGAACTAGTGTCTAATTGCCAGAAGTGGTGGTGCACGGTATGCAGGGGAGGGTGGGAGGTGTCATGCTGCATGAGCAATGCCTGGAGAGAGGAGAGGAGGGGCCCTGCAATGCCTTGTGGGTCCTGTTTCTGCAGGGCCACGAGGGCAGCCTGCAGTAACTGCAGCAGGAGGTGCAGCTATATGAGGTCCAAGAGCCAGCAACTGCTTTGAGGCAGGTCCAGCTCCATGGTAGGAGTACTGTGGTGTCCGCGAGGGCAACCAGAGCGTGCAGTGAGAAGGGTTTGCTGTCCCTCAAGGAGGTAGGCAAAGATGAAGAGCCTGAGATACAACTGTAGAGAGGAGATCCCTTTGAGCACCAGCCTCAGCTAGCCTCAGGCAGCAGCTACAGGAAGTGACTGCTGTCCTGATGCCCTGCCTGAAATGCTTCCGGGGGGGGCCTGAAATGCAATTCAGGCTCCAATCAGTGTGGATACTCTATTTCAAAATAGCTCAGTGCTATTTTGATGGGCATTTGTAGTGTGGACAGGCTATTTAAAAATAAGCTATTTCTGAGTTTTTATTCCAAACTAGCTTATTTTGAAATAAGCGTGCAGTGTAGACACAGACTTAGAGACTAACAAATATATATATATATATATATATACCTTGCTGTATGCTGACTTCTGAAATTGATCACACATTTCCCTGCAAAATCTCCTAATTTGCCTGGAACACACACACAGAGTTCAAGTATCAGCTTGCAATTCCTACACAGTTCTCACTACAGCACAGAGAGGAAGAGAAATTGCCTCACGCTGCCTCTGAAAGCCTCCAGACAGCAATGGCTTCCCAGACACATCGAGGGGGCGTCTCTTCTCCCTCTGGCTACCATTTCGCTCTTCCTTCTCTCTTCACCTTTCCCTTCTGCCTTGTCCCATTTCTCTTTCATCCCAGCCCCTGTGCCCCCCTCCTTTCTCCCAGAGCTCTGGCGTGCTCCTTGCTCTCTTGCACACACTCCAAGGGGTTCACTGAGAGGCCCTCATGCTGAGCCTGTACACTGACTTACTGAGGCCACAAGGGCAAGCTCCTCTTCCCTTGAGCGGATGGATCAGATACGCATCGTTCCGGTTCGCATTCCTCCGCGGCTCTCTCCGGGGACCCCAGGTTGCAGTAGCAGATGGTAGCTGCAGGGGCCCGGTGACCTGTTAAACTGCCATCGGTCACTGCCTTCCAAACCCAGTGAGCACAGAGATCTGTGTTTATTTGTCTAACACAGTGGAATCGGCTCTTTTTCTCCAGGGCCGCTCCATTGGCAGGACTCAGTACAGAGGCGTTCATACTTCTACGTCTAGATCATGCAGCTAATTCCCAGGGCAGGCAGCCTGTCTTCCACAGCCAGACGTTCCCTGGCCTGGGAACATTCTGTGAAGTGCAGCAAGGAAGTGGGCTTCACAGGTTTGTGGTAGCTACGGACACCCCATCTGCGACCTTCTTCTCCTCCAACCTCTGCCACACACACGCAGCAGGGACGAAAGCAGGCTGCACACTGCTGTGTATGGGAATGGACTGGAAACTCCCTCCTTCTGCATGTTCCAATGGCCACCAATACCTAGGAGAGTGCTGTCACAGAAGTGTGATACGGTCTGTATCAGCAGCTGCGGCAAGCTCTGGGGAGGAGCAAAGAGGGCATTTACCTTCCTAGTCCATCTCGCTTTCCCTCTCCTCCCCACCAAACTCCATCTCAACTATAGAGGAGGATTTAATATCAATGGGCAGAGAGTCAAAAGGCATTTGTCCAATATTCCAGTAAAATGGATGGGTAGGGAACAGGAATGACCCGGCGATCCTGCGTGAAACCCTCAAGTGATAGGTAAAGAGTTGCTCTGTGATATACAGGCCTGCCACTGGGCAGGGAGAGGGGGAAGGGAGGAGGGCAACTGTGGATTCAAAGGGGCTCGGAGGTGCCAGCCTACAGCAGCAGCAGAGGCCATAGCCCCAGACCCCTTTGAATCGCCATCAGAGCACCGCTCCGTGCAGCTATGAGGACTGCGGGAGTGGGGGGGAGGGGGGTACCGTGGTCTGGGTGGTGCTAAGAGCTGCCTGCCTGAGGCCCCGCCCCTTCCCGGGGCGTGGAGCCGGACTCCCCACACACACACATCCCTTGCTCCGGAGCCTGCGGTGGCTGTCGGCCTTGCGGACGATATGTAACAATAAACACTACACTGCGTCTTAAAAGGGGATGGATGCTATAAGATGCTTATACGAATTTTTCATTATTCATGCTAAGTAAGAGGTAGCAAATTTCATGTTTCAGGGTGCCAGGTCGTCAGCTGAATTTTCCAGTCCCTTCAATGTTCAGAATGGCACAGCAGCGTTATGGAATTATTTTCCTTCCTCTGAAAGATGCTAATGCAGAAATGTAGTAGGCCTGATGGACTCTCTGTTTGGTAGACTAGTCTAGTGTGACAGCTCCTATGTCCTAATTAGAGCTGGGCCAAATTTTTTCAATGTAACTTTTTTCACTGAAGAATGAAAATTAGAGGCAACTGAAACTCTTTGAGAAAACTTTGTGTTAAATTCACCAGGTTGTTTCAGTCAAGAGGGAAAATGTTCCCCCAAACCTGAAATGTTTGGGTCAACATTTTGAAACAAGTTAAGAAAAGATAAAAAGAAAATGAAACATTTCATTTTGGGGAGAACAAAATGGTTTGTTGGCCCCAAAACTACATTTTTTTCAAAATTTTTCAGTTTACAAAAAAAAAGGAAAAAAAAAAAGAAATGTTTTGTTTTGGGTCAACCCTGGGTGAATTGTGTAAAAATAATTGTTCAGTCAAGGGAATGAAAAAGCAATTCTTTGCAGAGCTCTAGGCCTAATATAAATGATTTTATTCCAGTAAGATGTGGCAACTGGAGAGTCCTTCTATAGTCTCCCCTGTCTTGTTACATCCCTCATTTCACTCGGCTCATTAGATTCAGCATTAGTATGATAGCGGGGCCTATAGCTCCATTGAGCTAGGTGCTCTGCAAGAGCAGGCCCGGTCCCAAAGAGCTCCCAAATTAAATAGACAAGTCGGACAAAGGGTTGGAGACAGTTGGCTATACGCTGTACACAACTCACCACAACCCTCTGACGCCAGTAGAGCAACATCCCTTTGTGCAAGCCATGGATCTCGCCCAGGGACGTTGCTCTAGGAGTGGATTTCACACAGATCCCGGGCACTGGCTGAAGAAATTGCTGGTCTGAGGAAGCGGGAAAATGGCTCCTGTTTCTGGAGCAGGGGAGGCATTGGCATGAGTTCAAGTCAGCCCCGCAGACTCCCAAGTGTCAAAACTGTGGGAGGCTGCAACTCCATGGGCCAGGCTGCAATGACATTCACTCAAATTTGGCCCAGCTGCCCTTCCCTCATGCCAAACCTGAGTGGTGCTCGGACCCTGTGTGCCAGGTCACAATCCCCAGAGCAGGGAGCTGAGTGAGCCCCCTCCAGAAGGACAGCAGACACTGCTGTGGGGTGAGTGCAGGGCAGGTTTACTCTCCAGTCCCTTCCCCCGCCCAGGCCCTGGGGCCTCTCTTCCACAATGGGCCAGGATGAGGAGTGGGGAGAAGGGAGCTGCTGGATGTGATGTGAGCTCCCTGGGCTACAGTACACGCCCGTATGGAAGAAGAGGATAGCTGGGTGCCCCCTGGAGTCAGAAGGCCATATCCATCCCTGCTCTGGAGGGCGTTTTGCAATGCTTGCCCGCTCTGCAGAGAGACCCAGGCGAAACCTGGCACCAGCCTGACAGAGACTGTGCAAAGGGGAGTGATTGTTCCATTGGAGCCAAAACGCTCTCGTAGCTGCAATGCCAAAGGATCTCGGGGATCTCAGACTGTTGCTTAATTAATAACAAGGTTTAAAGGGCTGCCTTTCAAACAAACAAACAGCCTCCCCAGGGCTATTGTGGTTCTGCAGGCCTGCTGTTTTCCTTCCTCCAGGCCCCTCCCCCACAGGACACTCTGGCTTGGCCACCCTCCTCTGCAGGCAGATGTGGGCTTCCCCAGGGCCCTAACCCACATATCAGCATTGTCTGCTGTGGGAAAGGCCAAGCCTGCTGCCACTAGGGCCTGACAATGTTTACAGCTTAGGGGAGGAAATATCCAGTGTCAGTCTGCTCTGTTAGCTTCAGAACAATGGGCCCTGCCAACACGCCACAGATTCTGGGTAGCTGCCCCTTCAGCGGAAATGGGGAGCATGTTGTTCCCTTTGCTCTGTCTTTTCTAGGTAGGAAGCAGCCTGGTCAATAAGCAGCAGCTGGATCCTGATGGTGATTTCACAGTCTCAGATCGTTCACTGATAGCGTCCAGGTGAGTAAGAACCGAAGCCAAGTGCTCACGGAATTAAGGGTACGTCTAGACTACATGCCCCTGACAACAGAGGCATGTAGATTAGGCTACCCGGCATAGGAAAATGAAGTGGCAATTTAAATAATCGCCGCTTCATTTAAATGTAAATGGCTGCTGCGCTGTGCCGATCAGCTGTTTGTCAGCTCAACGCGGTAGTCTGAACGCTCTGCAATCGACATCAAAGGCATTTGTCGACCTCCCAGATAAACCTCATCCCAGGAGGCCTACCTGGGAGGTCGACAAATGCCTTTGATGTCGATTGCAGAGCGTTCAGACTACCGCGTTGAGCTGACAAACAGCTGATCGGCACAGCGCAGCAGCCATTTACATTTAAATGAAGCGGCGATTATTTAAATTGCCACTTCATTTTCCTATGCCGGGTAGCCTAATCTACATGCCTCTGTTGTCAGAGGCATGTGGTCTAGACGTACCCATAGAGACATAGGTTTTGTCTCTACACTATAATGTGGCAGCATGGCCATAGCAGGGGAATAGGTTAGTGCACTGGGAGTATGGCTCCCAGCGCTGCAGCACGGTTCACCTGGGCGTTTTACAGTGCTGCGACTTGCTGCGCTTGGGGAGTGTGTGTGATTTTTCTCACCCCTAAGCCAGAAAATTGCAGCACAGTAAAGGGCCAGGGTAGACTTAGCCTTGGAGACAAACCTGGTATGAGTCTGGAGTAACTATGCTGGCTGCAATGGAGTTTATTTTGAGTGACCCCAGTGTTACTCAGAGCAGGGCCTGGTCCTCAGGTTTCTTCTGACAGCCATCCCGCCAGGTTAGTAGTGGTGTAGAACGGAATCTCTTATTTTTCACAGAGTGGGGCCAGACCTACAAAACTGAGACCTGGGTCTTGAATACCCAAGAGTGTTTGAATTCTGGGCTTGAGTGTGGCCCATTCTAGGCAAAGGACCTACTAAGAATTTCAGTTCGGGAGCTGGAATCAGAGATCTCCTTGATCCCACCAAACTGTTGGTTTTCCCATCTGGGTGCTTTGGTTCAAGCTCATCTCTAGTTTTCTATGCCTCAAGGTTTTCCATTGCACCTCGTTTCAGGTACTTAGTGCCAATGCAGTTGCCTTTGTGTGGTGAGGTTTGTGACCTGTTTTGGGAAAGGTCTCTAGTCAAGGGCTGTAAGCAGCCCTGGTTTTGAGCAATTTGCTCTGAGCAGATGCCCTCAGCGGTGCCCAGACCTGGCCTGGTCTGTCACAGTGGTGTAGTTGGCAGGATCCACAGAACTTGGTCAGTGGAGCTTTGGATCAGGAACCCACACTGTCCTAAATTTGATTTTGGTATTGAGAGTTCGGTTGGTTAAAGAGCAGCTGCAATGAGTCAGCAACAATATGGGTACGTCTACGCTAGCCCCCTAGTTGGAACTAGGGAGGCTAATGAGGGTGACCGAAATTGCAAATGAAGCACGGGATTTAAATATCCTGCGCTTCATTAACATGTTCCCGGCCGGTCGCCATTTTGGAAATTGACTAGCCCAGAAGAACTGCCCGCGTCTACACACGGCAGAGAAGGGCGATTCCGAAATAAACCCCTTACTTTGAATTACCAGTTAAACCTCATGAGGTTGCAGCACAGTAAACCACGCATGAGGTTTAACTGGTAATTCGAGGTAAGGCGTTTATTTCGGAATCACCCTTCTCTGCCACGTGTAGACGCGGGCAATTCTTCCGGACTAGTCAATTTCCAAAATGGCGACCGGCCGGGAACATGCTAATGAAGCGCGGGATATTTAAATCCCGGGCTTCATTTGCAATTTTGGTTGCCCTCATTAGCCTCCCTAGTTCCAACTAGGGGGCTAGTGTAGACATACCCTATGAGAGACTGGACAGAAGGGCTTTGGAAGATTTGTGCGTGGAGAAAGGCATTGACTTTAGAAAGAAAGCTACTAAGCCAAAACTGAGATCTTTGCTAATGGTAAATGACCAGCAGGCAAGAGAGCAGCTTCCTCCCAATGCCATGGATGCTGTTGCACAAGCAGTTAGAAAGCAGCAGGCACTGAAGGGAGTTGAGCTGAAACACGAAAGTGCACTTGCAGCTCTGCGTCAAAAGGAGAAGGAAGAGGC